GGGCGGGGACCCCTGCCGCGAGCCGAGGATGAGACCCCGAAGCCCAGGCCGGGTTGGGGCTGCCCCTCCAGCACCCACGGACGGGAGCGTCGCCAGGGCGGGGAGGGCGGAGCCCGCGGACAGCCCGGGCCGAAGCCGCACGGGCCGGGTCCCCGCTCGGTGGCCTGGCAGGACGGCCGACACCTTCACGGCCCCGCCTCTGTTTCGGTTACATGTATGAGAAAAAGTACCCAAAACCTGGCACACTTAAAGGGTAATTAAGGGGCATGGGTCCCCTTTTGGAGTGATAGAATATTCTGCAACTAGGCAGTGGTGATTGCTGCCCGACATTGCGGACACAACAAATGCCACTGGGTTGTACACTTTAAAATGGTCTAATGGCGAATTTATGTTTTGTGAGTTTTACCACCAAACGAAGAATGCACAGTCTGTGGCCTCGACACATGGGAACGCGGAACACGCAAGTGGAAACAGGACATGAGGCAGCGTTGGTTTGAGGCAGAAAAGAGGTGCAGCCGTGGGAGGGCTGCATGTCTGTCCCACTACTCCTACCAAGGGCGCAGCCAGAGGCGAGTCTCGTGTAGCTGAGACCAGCAGCTATGACGGATTCCCTCCTGGGTACAGGCTTTGCTAGACTTGAAAGCATCATCTCGTCTCCTTCTGTGAGGTGGGAACTGTTCTTTCCACTTTGCAAAAAAGGAAACAGGTTTGGAGAGGTAAGGTCGTGTGGCACTTGGAACCTCCACCCCAGGGGTTCACCTGAAGCAACCGGAACTGCCCAAGGATGGAACACACTGAGAGACAGTGCAGACTCTGAAGTTACATCGCATGTGCAGGCCATGCTGCATGCATCATTGCTTGGTTCGGAGTCAATTCCCCTACCTGAAACCCACATTCCTGGGATGGACAGCAAGGCCTTCCTGCCTCCGACAGAATTCACGTGGGGACTAGATTCCCTTCACTTCATCGAGGCTTTGTTTGCCACCAGCAGCTGTGGAAACATTCTAAGTCACCACCTGCAGGCTCAATGAGGTTTCATTGAGCCTAATAACTAACTGAGCTCTCAGGTGTAAGGAGTTATCTCCACTGGCTGCATCTGGGAAGCCCGAAGCTGTGCAGAGAATCCAGCAGCCCCCTGGGGAGGGAAGGGCTCACCCGCCGCAGAGCACGGGCTTCCTTCTCCAGAAGTGTCCTGCCTCGCTAGTGCAGGATGGTGGCAGTGCAGGGGGCTGGGCTCCGGGCCACGTCAGCCCCGCCCCACGTCCAGAAAAGATTTCCCAAGCAAGACAAACGCCCATATCCCTTGGTGGCCAGCACCGACAGGGACTAACGGCACTGCTGCCGGGCCAAGCTCCAAGTCCTCATGCCAGTGCTTCTGTCCTGAACACGCCTTACCTCATTTTAGACCTTCCTGCTTTCAGAGGATTTTTGCATGCACACCTTTTTAAAATTTTTGATTCTGTCGACAGGCCTGGGAGGCATGCAGAGTTGAGAACACAGAGAGAGAGGGTCGGAAGTGTGCCCTGAGTGGGAAGTGCCCATCCCCACCCACTAGCTCTGAAGCAAGTGACACCTCAGTCCCGGGGACTTGCCCCACTCGCTAGTGCAGAAAAGAGTGACTCACTTTGGTTGTCGGGCAGCTCAGGGGATTCCCACATAGGTTCCTTCCTGCCAAAGAGAAAGCAAAAGTCACCCTGCCAAGGCAGCCACTGAGGGCAGGGGCAGGGGACGTCCCCTCTCAGGAGGGGCCCACAGCTTCCTCCCACTTCCTGAGGGCTGGGATCAGGGCAGCTCAGGCCTGGACATGGGGACATGTGGGCGCATTTCCTGTTGGCCCCAGGCTCCAAGGCACCGAAGAGACAGCCGTGGTCCTGGGCCTGAGGGTGCTGGTGGTCCTGGAGAGAGGTGTGGACCTGACCAGGCATCAGACACTGTGGTGGATGCCAGCTGCTCACGACTGCGCTGGGGGAGGCCCGACGGCTGCCCATGGGCCTGAGGGGCAAGGCTGCCAGGGCCTCCCACTCTGCTGGAAGGCAAGCAGTCTTCCCCCACCTCTGACAGCCTGACACCTGTCACTGCTCTCTCTGCTTTTTCCCTTCTTGTGTTGGTCCTCTGAGCACAGAGCCCTGTGGACAGTTCCCCATGGGCCTGAGGGGCAAGGCTGCCAGGGCCTCCCACTCTGCTGGAAGGCAAGCAGTCTTTCCCCACCTCTGACAGCCTGACACCTGTCACTGCTCTCTCTGCTTTTTCCCTTCTTGTGTTGGTCCTCTGAGCACAGAGCCCTGTGGACAGTTCTGAATACTAGTGACTGCTCAGCTTCCCACAGGTGTGGCTGGTTCCCTTGGAGGCCCACACCTCGCATCCATCACTCACTCAGGCCTTGCAAGGACAGGGAATGGCTTGCACACAGGGCCAGCAGGCAGGAAGGTTGACCTTGACCCCCACTCGGGACCTGGACGTGGAACACCTTCTGTGTGCCTGGTGCTGTCCCCAGGGGGCAGGTCCCCCTCACAGGGGTCGCAGTCCACTTGTCCACTTGAAGAGCTTGCCCTGAGGTCAGCCCTGTGCTGTGGCTCCTGGAAGAAGCCGATTTTGCACTCGCTCTGCAGCCATCTGATGAGCATTTCCAAAGAGGCCAGCGCCCGCTCCAGGCTGGGATTCCCCTGTGCCAGTGACAGCGCCAGTGGGGGTGGAGGACAGGGGAGTGGGCTTCACCTCGGGCCAGTGCACAGCCCACCACAGCCCACGGCGGCCCAGGGAGGCGGCAGATCTGAGGTCCCTCCTTGGTAGCTCCTGGAGGTCTTCCCCAGGGACACCCCTAATGAAAGGGGAAAGAGGTGGGGTGGTGATGTTAAGTGACTGCCTCCAGAGGCCAGGCGGCGTGGTGGCACAGGAGGGAGGCATCAGCAAAGGCCACTCCTAGAGGGTTGGCCCAGAGCCAGCCCCAGCTAGGAAGACCCTTTGGAAGTGGGAGCCCAGCCACGTGTACGGGTTGCTGCGTAGTGCATGAGCAAAGGTGGGAAGAATGGGCTGCCCGCCTGTTGGCATTTCCCGTGGGCCTGGGGAAGGTGTGCAAGAGGGTGGTGAAGGGGGTGGCAGGAGGGGAGAAGGGCGCCCCCCACGATGCCCCTCACGCTGTGTAAGCCCTGATGGCGGGACTGCTGCAGAGACGTTTGTGTCAAGGGTTTGGGTCCCCGTACCAGCCAGCTGCCAAAAACAAAACAAAAACATTTGTGCTTTAAGCAACACAGAGTCACTTCAGAGGCTCTGGAAAACACCAAGAAGAAAGATCGCCCCAAATTCCCTCACCTGGAGACAAGCTCTGCCAGCACTCAAGCTTCTGACCTGCTGTAACTTTCCCCCTTTCAGACAGCTTCAGAACACAAATGTCACCCCACACACCAGAGCCACAGCCGATGACAGCCTCACATGCAGAAAGCTGAGGGGCTGCCCTGGCCCACCCACCTCCACTTGCTTGGGGCAGCGTGGCCCCAGGGCCTTTGCAGCAGCCAGTCCTTCCCAGGTCTTAGGGTCTCAGCATGGAGAGGGTCTCTGTCCTGGTGGCCCTAGCTTGAGTGGGTTTCTCTTCCCCACACCCATTATCCCTAAGAGATGCATCAGAAGCCTTCATGTGCTGTGAGCCCCTTGAGGGCGGTGGCACCTTTGGCCTCATTCGGGGCTCAGTTCCTCGTCCTTGTTGGATGGGTGGAGGCATGGGTGCAGAGCAGGTGACTGGACAGAGTTCTGTCCCGGGGACACGTTTGGTAGCTGGAGTGGCAAGTCGGCGCACACCACCTGCTGGCCAGAGCCGGATCTACCGCCAGACTCGTGGGCCTTCGAGAGATGGAAGGCGTGACCCCTGCATTCTGCCCACTTCCCTGAACCTCATCTGCACAAACGTGCCACTGAAAAAACAGCAGATAACATAAAATAAATTTTACAGCACCAAAATGAAAAAAGTGATGGACTAAAACTTTTGTCACATTAACATACTTTTCCAAAAAAAAGGGGGGAGAGGTACTGATACCAACATACTGGTTTTTTGCACAAACGAATAATAACATTCTAGGTCAATTTCTTTTTTTTGCACCGCACTCAGCCAGTGAGCGCACTGGCCATCCCTATATAGGATCCGAATCCGCGGCGGGAGCGTCGCTGCGCTCCCAGCGCCGCACTCTTCTGAGTGCGCCACGGGCTTGGCCCAGGTCAATTTCTGTTTTTGAGTTTTAATGTCTGCCAATTTGATGGCTTTTTCGAAACTGGCCTTTTGCTCACCGTCATGCTCAATAGACAGCACAGCTATGTTTATCTGTCTGTCTTTCCTCAGAGTTGATTAGAGAGCACTTGTTATTAACCTGAATTTTGAAAATTGTCTTTCACTTTAAGCCACTGATACACCATGTTAGGAAGAACCTCAAACATAGGATATGATGTTTGATGGAGACTCATAAAACCTCCACATAAGAGAACACTCTAGAAATTGCAATTCTGTCCATGTCTTTCTTTCTTTGAGGCTGATCCTAGTGGCCTTCAGACATCTCTGCAGTTGAAGAAAATGTAAATTCAAATGAAAACTCCAAGTGGCCACACGGACTGATGACTGAGACAACAGGCACAGGTTAACACAGGAACTGGAGCACAGAGTTCCACCAGGGCTGGAAGTACAAACGGCTCCCAAATTCTAGGAACTTCCTCTAGAAACAAAGTGTGTAGCTGGTCGCCACATAGAATACAATGCCTACTAAACGACGGGTATTTAAAGTGTATAAAGCGAAGCTTACATGAACGTCAAAACTCAGTCACTGCGGCAATTGTTAGCACTTAAGGCAACAAAAGATATTTTCATGGAGGAGTATTTTATCACAGACATTATTTAAGATTCCTAGCACGCAGTAACAATGGAAAGCAAATGAACTTTTAGTGAATTTTGTCTCTTAAAATTTACCCTTTGGGCCGGCCCGGTGGCGCACTGGATAGTGCGCCGCTTGGGAAGCGCGGCAGCGCTCCCGCCCGAGGGTTCGGATCCCACATACAGACCGGTTCCCACTCGCTGGCTGAGCGAGGCGCGGGAGCAACACCGAGGCTTGCAATCCCGTTGCCGGTCCCCGGTCCGGTACGGGGGCAACACTGAGGGTTGCGATCCGTTGCCGGACACGGAAAAAAAAAAAAAAAAAAAAAAAAAAAAAAAAAAAAAATTTACCCTTTGGGCCTGCCCTCTGGGTTGCAGGACAGGGTGGCACGCTGCATTGGCACCATGCAAACCCAAGTGCCCAGGCACCCATGCTGGCAGGGCTGCCTGGAGGGGCTGAACAGTCCAGGTCTGGCCAGAAGTCTGTATAAGGAGCAGCTGGACCCCCAGAGCCCCTCCTCAGCCAGCACAGTAAGGCAAGATTTTCCCATGCTCCTACAGCAGGCAGCAGGTAACGAATCCAGGGGCTCTCCAGCCTCGGGACAGCAAGCTCTGTTCTTCTACCCTGTGGCTCCCACAAGGCCAGCAGCCAGGCTAAGCAGGAGACAGTGAGGGTACATGTTGCTTTTTAGGGCCCTAGAAGAAATGGCTCTGTCCCACCTGATCACCCTGCGGAGGAGCCAACACTGGAAAATCCTGCCAGGCACACAAGCCTGCCAGCTGCTCCCTTGCCTGCTCTCTGCAATGTGACAGATAGCCAAGGATCACCAAAATACAGGAAGGGACTTTTGCAGGTGCTGGGCAACAGGCAGCATAAAGCTGAGAATCTGAGAGAAGGGAGATGTACTCCCCGGCTGACCTACACCTCTCTGGCTTTCTGCTTGGGAACAACCTCTTTTATTTTATTTTATTTTATTTTATTTATTTAGTGGCTGGCTGGTACTGGGATCCGAGCCCTTGACCTTGGTGCTGAAAGGTGGCACTCTAACCAACTTAGCCAACCGGCCAGCACAACCTCCTAATCTTGGCACAGAGGGGTGGAGACCAAGCTGAGCAAGGTAGCCCTTCTGTACCAAGGAGTCAGAACCCAGAGTTCAGGCAGTGTGAGCAGCTGGAATTGGCAGGACAGGATAGTCAAGAGGAAGAGCTGCACAGAGGGGTCCGGAACTCCCTGTGGGGGTCTCTGTGGGTCCTTGGCTGAGCATCTGACTGCGCACAACAGGGCAGGACTCTGTGAAGTCCAGCACAGAGCGGCTGCTACAGAGCTGAGAGAGAAATGAAGATACTAGAGGCTGACAGTGCTGGGAGATGTTGGAATTCTTCCTACCCATAATGAGAGTCATTGTTAACACTCGGGCACTCAGCTGAGTCTACAGAAAAGTCAGGAATAAGGATCAAGCCTTAGGTTATGGCCTACTCTGGACCTACCATAACAAGGTTTAAACCAAGCCTTAACAGGATCATGGAGAACCATCAGTGAATGAACTGCCTGCCGGAATAAAACTCAAAACTCCACGAAGAAAGACATTTTAATCCAGACTCCATACAATGTGCCTTTCTCTATGTCCGGCATAAATTTACTACATGTGAAAAGCAGCAGGAAAACATGTTCTATAATCAAGGAATAAAGCCATCCATAGAAAGGACCATGACTTGACCCAGATGGTGGATTTAGAAGAGCAGGACTTTAATGCAGCTGTTATAAATATGTTCAAGGACTTAAAATAGAACACAGTTGTAATGAATAAACAGATTGAGGTAGCCCTTCTGTACCAAGGAGTCAGAACCCAGAGTTCAGGCAGTGTGAGCAGCTGGAATTGGCAGGACAGGATAGTCAAGAGGAAGAGCTGCACAGAGGGGTCCGGAACTCCCTGTGGGGGTCTCTGTGGGTCCTTGGCTGAGCATCTGACTGCGCACAACAGGGCAGGACTCTGTGAAGTCCAGCACAGAGCGGCTGCTACAGAGCTGAGAGAGAAATGAAGATACTAGAGGCTGACAGTGCTGGGAGATGTTGGAATTCTTCCTACCCATAATGAGAGTCATTGTTAACACTCGGGCACTCAGCTGAGTCTACAGAAAAGTCAGGAATAAGGATCAAGCCTTAGGTTATGGCCTACTCTGGACCTACCATAACAAGGTTTAAACCAAGCCTTAACAGGATCATGGAGAACCATCAGTGAATGAACTGCCTGCCGGAATAAAACTCAAAACTCCACGAAGAAAGACATTTTAATCCAGACTCCATACAATGTGCCTTTCTCTATGTCCGGCATAAATTTACTACATGTGAAAAGCAGCAGGAAAACATGTTCTATAATCAAGGAATAAAGCCATCCATAGAAAGGACCATGACTTGACCCAGATGGTGGATTTAGAAGAGCAGGACTTTAATGCAGCTGTTATAAATATGTTCAAGGACTTAAAATAGAACATAGTTATAATGAATAAACAGATTGGGAATCAGCAGAGAAGTGGGAACTATTGAAAAGAATGAAATGGAAATTTTATTATTGAAAAGTATAAAAGGTACAATATCTGAAATAAAAACTCTGTTTGGGCTTAATATCATATTGGAGATGGCAAGAAAAAAAAGATCAGTAATCCTGAAGAAAGAGCCATAGAAAGTATCCAATTTGGAGAGAATAAAGATTGAAAAAAGAACTGTGGGACATATCACCCAGAATCACATACATTAATTGGAGTCCCAGAAGAAAAAAGAGAAAATGGGACAGAAAAAATACATATATAAATACTAGTAAAACTTTCCTAATGTGATGGAAAACCTTATACAAATCAAAGAAGATCAGCGAAGCTAAGATAAATACAAAGAAAAGTATACTTGTGCATATCATAAGTAAAGTGGAGACCAAGAGAGGATCTTGAAAGCAGCCAGAGGACATGTCCCATAACCTGCAGGGGATAAGAATACAAACGGATATGAGAGACAGCTGTCGGAAACAGTGAGAAGACGACGGTGTAACACTTATAAAATAGTATGTCCTTATTATCAGGTGTAAAATAGAGACACTTTCAGTTAAATGAAAGATGAAACAATTCATTTACAGCCAATGGTACTACAACATACTAAAGAAAACTATTCAGGCTGAAGGCAAGTGATGCCACAGAGAAACTCAGACCCACAGATACGAAGGAACAGCCATCTCTTTGTTTTTCAGAAAGCTTTGGAATTGTCTTTTTTCTTCTCTATGCATGAAGATAAATGGATAACTCTGGTAGACTGCTTACCTCAAACAGTGTCGATAGAGGATTCATTAAAATGACAGTGGTGTGGCGTCTCTGAAGATATATGAACTGTTCGCTGGACCTCCTACAGCTGGCTCTCCGTGCCAGTAGCTGCGGCTTCACCTGGGACTATTCTTCTTTGGACCGTGAATAAATTGAAAGAACCCCAGAGCCAGGAGCGAGTGTGCACAGGTGACCCCAGAGGGGGAATGGGTGGGTGGTGGGGGCAGCCTCACCAAGACACCTGCCTACATACGTGCCCTGATGGTAGGGAGTGCCAAGGATGGGGCAGCAGACACCTTCGTAGCATCAGGTCTGGACTCCTGACCCAGGGCCAGATGGCTGTGCTGATGGATAGCTGCACAGATGACACCAGGTCTAGACGCTGCCTCCTCCAGCCCAAGCCAATCAGAACAGGTACACTATGGAGCTGCTCAGCTTCATTTGCAGGGTCCTTGCCACGCCTCTGGGAAGGGTCTTCCCAGTGGTTTCATGCAGTCGAGTGTTGATTAAATTCACCAAGTAGGCTATTTTAACTGGAATCTGTTAAGACCTCCACCTCCTTCCAGGCGGACTCCACCATCTCACTCTCCCTGACATCCAGCAGCACTGGAGTGAAAGAGGGAAGCTGAGTTGAGATGCAGTTAGCCAGGGTTTATGGGATATTCTTATGCAGTTCAGTCATCTTGCTGGCTGCCCTGGAGCAGAAATATCCTTAGGCTGCTGATTACCCACCCGCACAATGCTGGGCACTGGCAGTCAGCAGGGAGTGAAAGACAAACAGGGCTTATATGTTCTGAGCCGGCAATGCATCTGTGCAGAACTGCAAGCAGAGGACTTAGTTCCCCCAGTGCCTGGGCAGAATGAAATTTGTCCCCTCCGAGAAATGTACTCGATAGCACGGCATACACAATTTAATTCTCCATAAATCTTCTTCTCTTTTTGGATGGTGATTGAATTTATCAAAATTCTTAAACAATGAGCTCATCTGTGCAAAGCCTAGAGTTTTACTGCAAACCAGTGTCAATGCTAACAATTAGATACAAATTGGATCAAACAATGTCTGAATTATCTATTTTTCCTGTAAGGCAATTCTGCAAAATCGTGATGAGGCAATTAAATAGAATGGAGCCTAAAACAGCAGCAAAAGCATTAAAGAGGTGCATCAGTTAACACATACAATCGTTATTTTTCTGAATTTTGTAATGCTTCTGGAATTTTTTTTTTTTTGGCGGCTGGCTGGTATGGGAATCTGAAGGCACTTTTTAAAAATTTATAATTTAGTGACTTTTCTCATTACACAAAATTATTGTAAAATAAATAAAATATTACATAATAATTGTAAAATAATTTTATACATTACACAAAATGGTGAGGGGGTCTTCAAACAGTACATGGAAAGATCTTACTATCTTTTAGTTCTGTTTTTTCACAAACTTTTCGAAGTACCCTGGTACAAATTACACAAAAATTCATTTCTGTAACTAATTTTGCTTTCCAAGTCTTGCATTCTTTTCTTAAAGAGAGCCCCCTCCCCGCGAGCTGCACGTTTCGGGCTCCACACAACCTGCCCCCAGCATCTCCCACGGCGTGAGCGCGGCTGCAGAGCAGGAGGGCTGCCAATGCGTGCAGGGTGGCAGCGCGCTGAGGGGCACGGAACCCGCGCGGCCGCACGTCCCTCCTCTCCTGTTCCGGCACGACACCCGCGCCCCTACCCCGTCGGCGACCCACCCCGTCCCCAAAGGTGCGGCCAGGAGGGCCGCGGGCCCACCGCCTGGGAGGGGACGTCGCGTCGTCGCGCCGGGTCTCGAGCAGCTGCCGCGGAGCCGCCGTGCGGACGCCCGCCCCCGCCCGCCCAGTCATGGCCGAGAGCGACTGGGACACGGTGACGGTGCTGCGCAAGAAGGGCCCTACGGCCGCCCAGGCCAAGTCCAAGCAGGTGCCTCGCCCACCAGGAGCCGCCCGCCAGGGCCCGGGGCGCGGATGGGGATCGTGGGGCAGGGGCTTGGAGACAGGGAGCGGGGACAGTGCTGGAGGCCAGGTGTCAAGGAACTGGGACGGAGGGGACAGGAGCTTGCGGACAGTGCTGGGAGGCCGGTGGGAGAACAGTGGTCAAGGGACTGGGACGGGCAGCGGGAGTTGCAGGGGGCGCGGACCAGCGGTGAGACGGGGGCACAGGTCTGGGGTGGGACCAGGATGGGGGCGAGGGACAGGAGCGGAGTTGGGAGACCAGGACTGGGTTGGGGGCAGAGAACAGGGACTTGGGGCAGGGACAGTTTTTAGGGACCACTGCAAGGACAGGGGTCTGAGACATAGGGCGGGGGCAGGGGGCGGGAATGGGGAAAAGAGTGGGGGACCAGCGCAAGGATGGAGTCGAGGTCAGGGCAGGGACCGCGGCGGAGACCAGGGGCGGGGACTGGTGCAAGGACAGGGGTTACAAAGGGGACCAGGGGCAGTGGAACTGGGGGTGTGGGGAACCAGAGGCGGGGACAGGGCTTGGGGGCGGGAGATAGAGACAGGGACAGGGCAGGGACTGGGCGGGCACTAGGGCAGGGACCAGGACAGAAGGAACGAGGTAGACACGGGGCCAGGAGGCAATCTGGGGATGGGGTTGCGGCTCTCAGAGGGTTCTCTCGACTCGGTTCTACTGCTGTTCACCGGTGGGATGCTGCCCAAGGAGCCACCCAGGTGCCTTGAGGGCTGTGGGGGGCCTGTCTCTGGTCTGGGGTGGCCTAGATACCCAGCATGCGGGTGGACCCTGCTTTGCTGATTCACAAGGGTAGAAGATGGGCATGCTCCCAGTGGTATACGGCTGATCCATCCAAGCCTTGTGTGTGAATCCAATGTAGTGGGGGGGTCAGGGGGAGGTCAGTTCAGGAACCATCTCTGCCTCATTTCTACCCTCAGGCAGCCTTGGGCCAGAGCCTTGGATACACAATGGGATCAGGCCATGACCAGCTGGGGACAGCATCTGTTGATCTGCCCTGGGCTTGTCAGTTGTGGTCAAGACCAAATTCACTCTCCTTTTCTTTTAAAGGAAACTTGATATCCACAAGCTAGGACTCGTGTAAACAATTTTCTAGAAAGTGTCTGAACATATCACACTTAGAATGTTCCAAAGTCACTTCTCTGAAGCGTTAGAGGCATCATGAAATAGATCACATTAATGTTCAGTGACTGTAGATCAGACGGTGTCATTGTTACTGGTAGTGTTTCCCAGAAACTTGCAGGTTTCCATGAGATGCATCATGTATGTTTTATTAGGAGCCATATTCAGAGGGAGGCCACACCAGATCAACGCTTGGCGTTCCTTCCTGCTGTGGCAGGAGAGTTTAGCAGAGAAATAGATCATTTTAAATATGATTTCTAAAAAGAACCTATTAGCCTGTCTTTCTTAATAGCAAAAGAAGTGAGCTGTTTCTCTTTTCTCAATAGCAGTTTATTGTGAGTTACCTGAATATTTGATCATAGAAGATTTCGTATGATGAGCTTGGGTTATTAAACCCAGCATTGCATATCAGTCCCTCAAAACCACTGGTCATTAGCAGTGTGCTAATTGGCTAACAGCAGCCTAAATTGGTGTGTGCCAGACACTGCCAAAGCTAATTTTAATCAAAAAACATTTTCTGATTTTCTAGGCCATCTTAGCAGCTCAGAGACGAGGAGAAGATGTGGAGACTTCCAAGAAATGTAGGTACTCGTGTTTCCACTTGCAAAATGAGGGTGTGCTGTTAGGATTTATCTGTAGATGGGGGTGCTGTGGGTAGGCCTCGAGGGACCTGTGTCAAGAGTCAGAGGGACCGCTGGCCCCTGAAGCCGGCTGGAGAACTGGGAGTGCCTGTGATCTGATCAGATGAGCTCTGGCTGGCAGAAGTTCAGCAGGGACTCTTACTGCCTACCCACTTCCCATAACTGAGTGAAAACCTTGGAACTCCATGCTGTTAGGTCTGTGGATTTGGGGCATCCTGGCTGCCTGTGTCGCCCTGGGCTCAGAGAGCCTGGTCGGTCCAGTTACCCTTCCAAAATCATTTTTCTTCGGATCGATTCCAAACCCTCTCCTGTGCTCTTGCCTCACACCGACTCAGGGGCTGCTGGCCAGAACAAACAGCATTCGATCACCAAGAACACTGCAAAGCTGGACCGGGAGACTGAGGAGCTGCACCATGACAGGGTGACCCTGGAGGTGGGCAAAGTGATCCAGCAGGGTCGGCAGAGCAAGGGGCTGACCCAGAAGGACCTGGCCACGGTGAGGCTCTGGCGCTTTCGTAGCTCCCATTCTGCGGCTGTGGGTTTGAGGAGGCAGGTAGACAGCGTTCAGAGCACACCTGGACGGTGGGCTCCACCTGCCTGGTGACTTTGGGGGCTTCAGTTTACCCTTGCCCCCACCCCCAGGCACCTTGAAGGCCTCTCGGGAAGCCAGGTCAGACCAGCTGTAACTTCTAGCATGAGGCATGGTTGTGTGTGGGTGTGGATCCCAGAGTCTCCAAGAGCTGCTCGGGCTGATGGGGCATGTCCTTACTGAAGATACATGTAACGCACGTCTTCTCTGTAGAAAATCAACGAAAAGCCGCAAGTCATCGCAGACTATGAGAGTGGACGGGCCATTCCTAATAACCAGGTTCTGGGCAAAATCGAGAGAGCCATTGGTGAGTGTCCTTGTCTTCCTTTGGTTGTGGCTGGGCAGCTGCCCTCTCCTTGGTGGGGGTGGTGAGGACGGGGTTCTGGGGGCACCCTGTTCTCTGAAACCACAGGAATTCTGCCTAAGAGCTTTACTCCTCGAGGCAGCACGTGCTATTGGAGGATGATAGGGACTCTGGAGCCCTCAGAAAATCCCACCAGCGAACAGCCTGGGATCCCTCCCTTTGCAGTCCCTTCACCTCCTTGCTGTGGCCAGAGCTCTCCTCTGAGCCTGAGCACGGCAGGGTCAGCGACCCTCCGTGTTCTCCCTGCTGGGGCATTGACCACACATCACGTTCTGCTCCCACACTGCCCCTTTGTGGTGTCAGCGTGGTGGCCAGAACATGGCTCTGCAGAGAAAGCCCTAGTTCATCCAGGAAGAGATGTTCATTCTTTGCTTCCTGGGATCGTCAGACTCACGCTCTTTTTAAAATTGGACCTGAAAACCAGCAGAGTCGCTGTGCTGAGAGCCCGTGAGGGGGGGTGGTGTCCCTTCTTTCCTAAGGGTAGCCCTGGGAAGATGTCACGGGGGCAGCTTGAGACAGGGGAGGCAGCTGGTGCTCAGAGTGGACACCTGCTGCCACCTTGGGGTGTCCCTTGGTGCCGCAGAGTGGCAGCACAGCGGGCGGTGGCTGATGGCTTATTTCAGGCCTAAAACTCCGGGGGAAGGACATTGGAAAGCCCATCGAGAAGGGGCCGAGGGCAAAGTGAGCACAAAGCCTCGAAGTCAGTGTGTTCCGGCTGATCTCCCCGGCTGGGTCCCCGACCAGCGGTGCTGCCGTGGGTCTCCTCGCGTGGCTAAGCGGAACGTGGGTGTCCAGCCTGCGGGCACCCTCCTCACCCACACCTGCTGTCAAAACACAACAAAAGCTTGCGAACTCCTGGCTTCTCCTGTCTTGTTTTTCTCCCTCCCCCCGTCCCTCCCATTCAGGTGTCAGACGCTATCTTCCCCTCCCATGGGCGTCTGCCTGGGGCAGTTCTGAGGACCACCCCCCCATGGAGGGTGGGGGGGCCAAGGCTGGAAGAGAGGCTGGGTGGCGGCTGTACTGCTCAGCCTCCTCTGCAGCCTTCTGCCTGGCCGCACTCCCTGGACCACAGCTGTGGGGAAATAAGGTGGGTTTTCAGGACAGACGCCCGTAGGTGTCCCCTGGGGGCTTTGGAGGTCAATCTCTCTGCTCAGAGCTCTTTTCTCCTAGGCCATGTGCTTGGACAGTTAGTGGGCATCAGTCAGCCTCGTGGCACCTGAAGACGCAAGACAGCGTCTAGCCATGTCCAACTGCTGCCCTCCCTGGGACCAAGTCCCTGGGACAGGCCAGAGCCCAGTGGCTGGTGAGGGCGCTGTGCCCCCAACAACTAGGGCTCCTTGGGGCAGGTGAGTGTCCACAAGGTTGGGTGGAGCCTTCCTTTGGGCAGGAAGGGAGCACCTGGCTGCACAGGTGTGGGTATCACTGCCCTCCCCAATGACAGCTACCCAAAGCCAGGCCTCAGGCCCCGAGTCCCCTGTGTGGAGGGTCAATGCTGTGGGAACCACCCCTGGGTTAGAGGCGACTCTGCTTCCTTAGGACAAGGGTGCTCTGTGGGTGCCCGTTTGCGCACACACCTTTGTGGAGGACCACACTCCCCCCGACTTGTGAGGCCGAGGGCAGGGCTCAGCTTGCCTGCCTGTGGTCTGCTCAGGAGTGTCCCGGAAACCATGTGACCTCAGCATCGGAACCTGCAGCCCTGGCATTGCTCAAACCGTTATTATGGGTCATGGCCATGGGGATATTTATCTGAGACAGTGGACATGGGACACTTATCACAGAGAGTGGATATGGAGCCCTGTATTGTGGAGAGTGGACACTGGGATATTTATTATGGACAGAGGACCTGGGGTCCTTAATCATGGAGAGTGGACATGGGAACATTTATGGACAATGACAAGGGGATCCTTATTGCAGAGTGGACAGGGCACCTTTATCGTGGGCAGTGGACATGGGGACCTTTATTGGGGACAGTGAATACAGAGACGTTTATTGCAGACAGCAGAGTGGAACAGGGACCTTTATCACAGACGGTGGACACGGCTGGGGTGTGTCCCCCCAGGCCCGCTCTGTCAGACGGTTCAGTACATTTTTGCTCCTCAGTGTGTCCCTGCACCTGTGGATTTATTCCATTCCCGTCCTCAGTAGACGCAGAATCACCCGCGAGGCAGGGGCTGGACAGGGGCTGGACAAGGCCGGGGGCTGGGGCGCTTGTTTCTGCCCAGCCTGGGGTGGCAGCTGCTCCGGGTTCTGCTGGGTTGCCTCCGTGCCTGCCCCGCCCTTGTTCTGGGTGGGGCCTGCCTGCTTCTTTCACCCGACACACGTGGGGCAGGGCTGCCCTCAGTCTCTAGCTTCCGAGCTGCATTGAGACGCAAGGAGATGCCCCAAGCTCGTTCTCAGATCTTCTCAGGTCAGGTGTGGGAATCCTGACGAGGCCCGCCTACCCACTGGCTGGCGGCATGTGGACGCACTGACTCAGCCTGTGAGCTTGGGTTGCCCCCACGGGCATGGGGCAGGACCCCCCAGCCACATGGCGGGCAGAGTCCCTGAACAGGGTGAGGGACACGGAGGCTCAGTGTGTCCTCCAAGACTCTGCAGCCTGGCTCAGCCTGGGGGTAGGGGCAGGTGTCCAGTCCCTGGCCAAGGTCGTAGTTCTGGGGTCTTGAGTGTTGGGGATGTTCTTGCAAGGAGCCAGGACCTTGTCTGGGGTGGTCTATGGACCGTTGGTGACAGACGCCGGGAGAGTGACGTGATCCTAGGAGGAAGGGAGGGGCTGCATGACGGAGACTGAAGGGGCAGTGAAGGGTGGGGCCACGCCCTGCAGCAGTCCCGTCACAGCCGAGCACAGAGGCAGGGGCTCCTGCCCACCCATGCACACCGGGGGCTCCTACCGTGTTGAAGAGGACATTGTCAAAGCCGGGGGCCACAGCCTCCGTCTCACTCTGGAAGGGGCAGCCCCCCTTTCTGCGCAGCCAGTGCCGTCCCCCGACTCCCAGCAGCACCATGAGCATGAGGAGGAGGACGGTGCCGCCGACCACGGCCGGCACCGACACAGGCACATCCGTGTCCCCTGTGGGCCGCAGGCACATGAGGCCCGGGACGTGAGCCTCCACATCAGCCCTCCAGTCCTGGTGCCTGGGTCCAGCACCCCATACCCAAGGCTGAGGAGGAAGCCTGGGACCACGCGGTCCCCTCAGCCCCTGCGGGCTCCTAGGGCTTATTCTCTTTAAAAGGGGGAGTCATGCTGACTAGGCTGGGAACCTGCAGGCAGGCCACAGCTGTGTGCAGACCTTGAGGGTCACGGCCCCAGCTGGACACCCCCGTTCTTCACAAAGCGACAGCAACTAGTGACCACACAGAGGACAGGCCTGGCCGCAGTCTCTGCGCTGTCCTGGGAGTGGGTGCAGGGGGCATGGAAGCCACAGCCAAGCTGGGCAGGCCTAGGGACAGCTACCATGGGCACTGAGGGCTGATGCAGCTCCCCAGGGACAGCCCAGGTGACGGACCCAAGACCAGTGGGACAGAGAGTGGAGAGGGCACAGGGCCTGGCCTTGGCAGTTCCCCCAGCCTCCTGCATGCAGGGCACTAACAGCCACGGTCCTGTGCACTGCTGAGCCCAACAGACCCAGGCAAGGGCTGGCCGGCCCAGGCCCTCCTCTCAGCAGCCTCAGCCTGGCGCCCAGTGCTCACCCTGGCCGGGTGTAGGCCGCTGGCAACGCTGCTCGGCCAGATACTCAACGTCATCCAGGGCAATGGGCCCCAGGGCTGGCTGGCCTCCCAGAGTGGCTTCAAACACGATCTGATGGGGAAAGAAGAGAGGCCGGTGGGCTGGAGGAGGCCACACAGGAGAGTCTGGCCGAGGCCCCTGAGGTCTGCTGTCTCTGGGCAGCCCAGCCTCACCTGGAACTCTTTGGTGCTGGCCACCTCCACCTGGACTTCCAGCCACTGGTGCCGCAGATGCCCGCCCGTGCCCCACACGGCCAGCTGGCCCTGCGTGCTTCTCAGGAGCACCCTCAGCTCGCCCTTGTCTGAGAGCAGGGGTGCCAGAGCAGGTCAGGCCTCAGGGTCCCTGGTGGGCCCCTGAGTGCCTGACCTGGTGCAAGGTGGGGCTGCTCCTGCCCCCTGCCCCCCCCCGCTGCCCAGACATCCCAACCCCTGCCCCCTGGCACCTGCCCCCCACTGCCTAGGCACCTGCTGCCCCAGCCTGACTCACAGAAGTGCTCAGGAAAGCCCATGTAGTACCAGAAGCAGAGGCAGGAGGCCTGCGTAGCTGGCAGTGGCTCACTGCGCAGCCAGGCCGCCTGGCTCCCAGAGCCCAGAACGCTGGTTTCAAAGAAGGCAAAGTGTCCTGGGAACAAGAGAGGGCAGTAACCTGAGGGGGGCATGGGGGGCAGGCCCAGCTGTGCCGTGGGGTAGTGGTGGGAGGCAGTGGCATGTGTGGCTGCAGGGCCCACCTTCCCCAGCTCAGGCCCCCTGGCCCGTGCGCACCTGCCTCTGTGCCCAGGGTGTGGTCCACGGGGGGCTGGAGATAGCGGGAGGGTGTGGTGCCACCACTCCAGTCCCAGCTGTACCTGCCCAGGCCAGGCCAGGCCAGGTGGCTCCAGCCACACAGACCAGACTCGAAGTCACAGGAACCTGCAAGGAACCAATCAGTGGGCACTGCCTCCCCCTTGGCCCACCCCATGTGCCGCAGGACTCCCACCTGGCCGAGGGCAGGCCCCGTCCTGGAGGAACAGGTCATCCACCGCCACGTAGGAATGCTCCATGCCGGCTGCCACGGCCTCGAACACCACCTGGAGGGGTGCAGGGCGGGATGGCCTTGAGCTGTTCCCGGCAGCCCTTGGGAGTGAGGAAGGGCTGCCCCCCGGCCCCGGGCGCTCACCCTCCAAGCCCTGGCACCTGCCCCCCACTGCCTAGGTGCCTGCTGCCCCAGCCTGACTCACAGAAGTGCTCAGGAAAGCCCATGTAGTACCAGAAGCAGAGGCAGGAGGCCTGCGTAGCTGGCAGTGGCTCACTGCGCAGCCAGGCCGCCTGGCTCCCAGAGCCCAGAACGCTGGTTTCAAAGAAGGCAAAGTGTCCTGGGAACAAGAGAGGGCAGTAACCTGAGGGGGGCATGGGGGGCAGGCCCAGCTGTGCCGTGGGGTAGTGGTGGGAGGCAGTGGCATGTGTGGCTGCAGGGCCCACCTTCCCCAGCTCAGGCCCCCTGGCCCGTGCGCACCTGCCTCTGTGCCCAGGGTGTGGTCCACGGGGGGCTGGAGATAGCGGGAGGGTGTGGTGCCACCACTCCAGTCCCAGCTGTACCTGCCCAGGCCAGGCCAGGCCAGGTGGCTCCAGCCACACAGACCAGACTCGAAGTCACAGGAACCTGCAAGGAACCAATCAGTGGGCACTGCCTCCCCCTTGGCCCACCCCATGGGCCGCAGGACTCCCACCTGGCCGAGGGCAGGCCCCGTCCTGGAGGAACAGGTCATCCAGCGCCACGTAGGAATGCTCCATGCCGGCTGCCACGGCCTCGAACACCACCTGGAGGGGTGCAGGGCGGGATGGCCTTGAGCTGTTCCCAGCAGCCCTTGGGAGTGAGGAAGGGCTGCCCCCCGGCCCCGGGCGCTCACCCTCCAAGCCCGCTCAGCCTGCACATCCACGCTGCCCAGGCGCCAGGCAAACCCACCGCTGGCACTGACGCTGAACACCTGGTGCCTCCTGCCCTCTTCCACATGGACCTGCAGGGTGCCTGCCACACCAGGACCAGCCCGGGTCAGCTGCAGTGGGGGCAGAAAGCCCGTGTGGCCCCACTTGGCTCCCCAACCTGGACACTGAGCCCAGGCGGCCTTGGCACAGGGGCCTGTGCGGACCCAGGCCAAGT